GGGTTAGATTTAGGACAAAGGTGTGAATTGAGTTTTGGTTAGGGTTTGGATAAGGTTTAGGCTGTAGAAATGAATGGAAGTCAATGGAAAGTCCCCACAAAGATAGCAACACAAACATGTGTGTGTGTGTGTGTGTGTGTGTGTGTGTGTGTGTGTTTGTGTGTGTGTGTGTGTGTGTGTGTGTGTGTGTGTTCAGTGAAGTTTAAAATAATTTTTGATCATTTTGTACCTAATTTCCTCCTAGCAGCATAAAGAAAAGTGTGTGTCCATTTTGGTTCCCCTGCTTGAGTTTCCTCCTAAAACTGAAAACGCCTTCATGTTACGGACATACACTGACTGTTTGTCTTGCTGATGTCTCTCAGACTAGGAAAAACTGGCTCATAATGTAGGTGTGTCCACTTAGCGGTTTAAAAGGAAGAGAGAAAAGTCAATGTAGAGTGAGCTGCAGTCTTTGCAAAGCTTTCTCTGGGTTTATGGCTTCAGTGCTGCTTAGAAAAAGAACATTGCAGGCCTTAAGAATGAAGACAGGTTTTGGAAATAAAGATGTTTCTATTTGGTTGTCAAACCTTTTAAGAGAAGGGATGTGTTTTCCAAGGAGTAGAACATGCCTGTTTGGATTTTTGATGTGTGGACTCAAGACAAATACAGGATATTTATTCAGGACGGCCTCCTGAGCTTACAGTAGGCAGGGATGTTGGAGCTGTCAGAGCAGTTTCTCTTTATTCTTTTCCCACCCTCTTTAGTCATGACTTTCCCCCTCTCCTCTCTGACTCTTGCCTTTTTAGCTGAAAAGAGGAGGGGCTCCTCAAGTAATCCAATAACTACCCGGTGCATGAATGTTACTGTTGCTGGACTTCCCTGACAAGTGCAGAGGTTAAAACGTATCAAGAGGCTGAAACTGAGGAGGTTGGCTGCATCTCTAAAGTCAAGATTATAGTTGGCAGAAGAAAAGTAAGCGGAACATTGGCACCGGTGTCTAGTGGAAAAACGTTGAAGCTGCTTCCAATGAGTCTATTAAAAGACCTGAAGAAGAACCTTTGGGCTTCCTGCCGTTCAACATGTCTTTAGAAGAAGATCCTGTGAAAGACACAGCTAAGATGGAAACAAGTCGTTCCAAGGAAGTGAGTGAAGTCGTCCTGAGCCACATTGCTAGTTCACCCCTGGATCCATTTCCACCCAAAGATTTCAGAGGGAAGTTTAAAAAGATGCGTCAGAAGAAGAGGCCCACCATTCTTGAAAGTAGGTCCTGTTCCAAACTGTAAGATTTTTGTTCTTCAGTTGGTAAAAATGCAGATTTTAATAATGAAGAACCGCCTTACTGGTACTTCTGCTGTTATTCGCATCACTTTAGGAAATTCCTCACCTCCCTATAGTACGTGTCATCTTTACACAGGAATCTGGTGGGTTGTTAATAATGGACTCAGACACTGATGCAATACAGTGCACATTTTCTATGTAGATTACCTCACTGTCACAAGTTAGCCCTATATCATACTATACTTCCCCAAATTTCTGACCATATCCACCTTCCAGTGAATACGAGTTGCAAAAACAAGCAGTAACTTGAATTACAAAGATCGCATTTAGCGAGGAAGATAGTGTAATGAGGGGGAGCAGAGAGGGAAGGGAGTAAAGAGTTTCAACTTGATAACCACAGAAATGGCTCAACCGGACAGACATACCTCACATTCCTCAACTCCATCAGAGCTTGATAATACTTGTAATAAGTACTTAATGTGTTTGTGGCTTTGCTCACTTACATTAAACTGGAAAAAGAGGTTTACGCTATTTTTTATAGTCTGCAAACTATATTTAACGCACTGACTTGATGTTTTAAGTGTACAACAGATGGCGGAAAAAGGTGTCATTACAGTATGTTACTATGAGAGTGCTAGTGAGGCAGTTCAGCTTCCTAATATCTGACACTGATCCTATCCGCTACTTCACCAAATGTCGCTTTCTCTGTTTTATTGTTGTGACAGGTGTAGATAAATCTGAATAAGGTTTTACATCATATCCATTGACTGAATTTCCTCATAGCTGCATCTTTTTTTGATAATAAGTCACTTCAAATCAAATTTTGTTGTACAAAAGGGTTAATGCTGCTTTTCAGGTGATGTGAAAACATTTATGGTACTCTCCTGTTTAGAATCAGGTGTATTTTTGTGATGCAACTTAAATGTTTGCACTTCTAGTGAGCGTCCAGCACATACGTGCCAAGGCAAAAGTCGCTGGTACATATGCATCTCACTCTGATCAGAATCTTTTCAAAAGACAATATTTGCTGAGTTGCAAGGCTTAGCTTCCTTTCTGTTTTCATATGCACTTTGTTGATCATTTGGTTCATAACATATGCCTTTGCGGTTCTAATTGTGTGGGTAAAATTTACAGGAAGGGTTGTTGTTCTGTTTCCTGAACTGTTCGGTTTTAAAAGATGTATTTATTACATCATTGTCTCAAGTCATGAATTTTTGTCTTGGTCCAGGTTAACCTGGTCTTTAGTGCTGATTTGAATAGGAGTCTAGAATCTGAGAGTCTCTGATCTAGGCAATGGAAAGCCAGGTTTTTTTTCCCATAGTGGGCTGCCAAGCGCTAAGGTTTTCTCTAGGGACATAACTCAGAGATTTGGCTGATGTTTAAGAGGTTAAATACTCATATTTTTGTACAGAGATTCTCATTCATCTAACCAGATGAGTCAGCCACATCAGATTATCAATGAAAAATCAGTCATAGAAGTGAACTTTGTTCTGTGTTTAAAGAATCCAACAGACTGTTTCGTCCAGTAATGAGAGGTTTGGCTTGCCATTATAAGGAAAGCATTTCCCGATGATTAGTAAAATCTGCTTAGAGGGAAAGGAACATGCTCTGCCTTCCACTTCAGGAAAGAGTCAAACTATTTCTCCAACAACCACATCATTCAAATAGAATGAGCTGGTTTAAGAATTAATTACGATTTTGATACAGAACATCAAATTTACATAATGTTTTTTATTCAAATAATTTGTAGTATGGGGAAATGTGTGCTGAGAGGTCAAAGTTGCCATCAAAAGAAAATATTTTGGAGTAAACTGAGGTGTTTTACTGAAGTCTATTCTAAAACTTTGCCAAGTTATTCTGCTTACTTTGTAAAGGCGTCTGTGAAAACAGTAATGGTACAGTAAGAGGACAGGTCTGTGTGTTATTGCAGGCCTTAGGGCTTATTTTTACAGATTTGTTTACTACCCCTGATATTATCTGAATCATCTGATTTTTCAATACCCAGTCCATGATTTCTTTAAGTTAATAAAAATGTATACTATTTACAAGGTTGAAAGTCCAATAGCATTAAGGTGTAGATATTCATGACACCACTCAGTCTTCATTAAACTTCCATCTTGATTATGCTGAGGAATTGTTTAATCTGGAGCAGGTAACTAAAGGAAGTGCTTAGCTAACATTTCAGACTGTTTCTATATTTACCTAAATTCAATGACTGTCATTTAAGCTTTCACTCCTACACCTATCAGTTATTGATGGATTTGTTGAAACAGTCACATGGCCCTGATCCATGGGGAAATCTCCTTTTCGATTTAATTTCTTTTTAACAGCTCAAGAATACTTATTGGACGTAAAGATTCAGGCCAAGAATACAAATTTGCACACAAAATGTACACTAAAGTCAGAATTTATCCCATATTAAAAAATAAATGGGGGACACAATTTAAAGTGCAGTTATCATAAACTATGGTAAAAAATTAGAACTATTTTACAGATGGATTTAAAAATGTGACCTCTATCAAGGAAACTGCAGCAGATTATTTTTCTTTGTTAGTCAATGTTTGACATTTATCTGCTCTGTGAAAACAAAGTCTACACCAATAAGTGTTTATGTTTGTAGTCCCGTCATGGGAGGAACATAAAAATTAGCCAAAAACACATGAAGAAATCAGGATTGTTTGGCAAAATCATGACTAATGCATCTCTGTTAAAGAAATATGAGGAATAATATTATTCTGCTTGGCTGATATTCCCCAGGAGAAGGCTAACAGGTCTTTGTTTATTAAAATCGTGATGACTGAGTGCTGAAATTTGTGCTCAACAAACTGTGCCAGCATCAGTGAAAGCTTCTACATCACAGAGCGTTATGTAATCAAGGTCAAGTGGCTGTCACTTGATGGACAGACAGAGCTCTGATAGGATTACACTAAGAGCGCAGAGAGGCTGCGTGGATGGGCTATTGAAGGATGTTTTCATCGTACATTTAGGTCAAGACATCTGCTTTCATGATTATTTATTTTAATACTCCTGCCATTTTCTAAAAGAAGATTAAACTTTGTTTTGTGGCACAACTTTACACATGATCTATAAATTATATTTGTATGAACATCAAAAGTGATAAAATGATAAGTTATTAAAGAATGTTTGCATTTGGTGCTGTTTTTGAAATCAGGTTTATGAAAGCGGCTAACATATTTGGAGATTTTTCAGCATAAGACAACAAATTGAAAAAAAAAAACAACAACACATATTTTTATTAATAGATAAGGCAGAATCAGAGGGTATTTTTAATCTTGATAGATTACGTCATAATGGAAACAAGTAATGAATTATTAACACATTATTATTTAAGTTATCATTTTAAAGATGTATTATCTATTGGATGGGATTTTTGTGTATTAATGCTGAATGACTCTTTGATAAGACACAGAGCAGCTTTAACTCCTCTCTCCCCTATTAAATGATAACATATTTATATGTTACCCATAAGGTTTGCCATGTTTGCATTATCACATCCATCTTCCTCATTCAACAGATTAGTGTCTAGTCAAAGTTACCTCAGTTGTGTTCAGCACTGTCTGCATTTAATCAGACCAGCAAAATCTGCTCATAAATAAATTATGACAATGTTATGCCATTTATACTGAATATTATCTTGCATGAAAACGTAGAATATGTGGCCCTATATTTTTGTCCTATTTCTGTTATTATATTTATTGAGCAAAAATATTGAGCCAAAGTTTAAGATACTAATTTGTGCTCTGAACTTGTGAAAGATATCATAAAAGAAGAGAACTGGGGCTTATCAGATTCAGTTTCCGTACCAGTTCAGATACAGACGTCGCTCTTGGAGCAGATGCTGGACTAAGGCTCCATCCCGCAGTCCAGACATCTGTGTAGCCAGGGGTTATATTTAGATTTATTTTGTTCTAGAAGTAAGCCCAAAAATATGTTGTCCATTTAAATGTATGGGGATTACATTATAATCTGAGAAATTTACCATTAGATGTGATTTTTTATTTTTATTTTATTTGGCTAGTTAACTTTGGGCCTGGTAGAGAAGCCCACTGTAGACAGTATGACTACTATGTAGGGGAGGGGTCCCCAAGCTATGGCCCGTGGGCCGGATCTGTCCCGCCTCCTCATTTGGTCCGGCCCCCTGAACAATACCAGAGAGCATTCAGTGTTTTTTTTCATATATATGTGGATTTTTCTTCAACCACCAGGGGGGCTCTTGAGCAGATATGAAGCTTAGTTTCCCTCAATGGAATATATACTAGTCAGTACCAGTCACCGTTTCGCTCACGGTTTTTTTCCATTTGCATTCTGGGTAAAAATTTATCTTCAAACGCGAATATGTGGTCGGCAGTAATCCAATCCAATGCCCCCCCCCCGGTCAACAAAACTTTTCTAAGGTTTCTTTCTCAAAAAACTAAGACCGGCCCCCGACCAGAAAAAGGAACAGTCATGTGGCCCTCGCAGGAAAAAGTTTGGAGACCCCTGATGTAGGGATTTTATGTTGAAAGTTGTGGTTTTTCAGATGTTTTTGTTAACAGTGTTTACATCCTAGTAAAATTTGAGTTGAAAGCAGCTGCCTTCTTACACTTCTGTTGGAGTCCATTGTGCCTCCTCCACCCAAACCCTTAGTCTCATCACTCTGTAAATGGATTTAGCAGCTCTGTACCATTCTGTGAATACAGGCATGAATACATTGCTCTGAAGATTGTGTAATTATAAGAAAATGTCAATGCAAACATGGTGTTGACCAAGTTTGCTGAGGTACATCTGACATGGCTTTGTGGTTTAAAATCACATAAGGTGTTCAGCTTGTAAATCAAGGCCAAACACCCACCTTTGATCAACATAGGTGGAACACTGATCCACATATTTGATCTGTATGTGGTTGATTTTCATGATGACATTTGACAAAATGTTTATTGCTTGCTTCAAGGTGGCAATCTGATGTTTTTGTTATGTAAAGG